AGACCGCAGTCAAATCCGCCGTCACGATTTCAAAAATGACCCATTTTGATTACATAGCCGAATGCTTTATGGACTAAATGGAGCGCTCAATTCAATAAGGTTGCACCAGTTAGAGAAATATGACTACAATATAGGTTCTCCTAGAATTAGCAGGCTTCACTTTTATGCGTTATGAAGTCACAAGTTATAAACTGACTCTTCCATTTCAAAGAGACAAATGGGAAGAGAATGGGAAGCATTCCAGCAGCACAAATTGACTTGAAGAATTTAGTTAGGATATAGAATATAGCATCCTGAAACATAGCAGCACAATATTAAACAAACATACTGAGTTTCCGAATGTCTGTTGCAGCACCTTCGTGTCCATTCTGGAGAGCGGCCATATAAGTGTTCATTTTGTCCAAAAGCTTTCACGGCATCTTCCATACTTCGCACACATGTCCGTCAGCACAGCGGTGAGAAACCATTCAAGGTAAAAGATAAGATAAATGAGTCCTGAAAAAGTTACCTAACAGGAATTACCTCTTTTCAGTGTGCATTCTGCGGCAAACCTTTCGCATCTCATGCTGCCCACGATAGCCATGTTCGTCGTACACACGGTGTCAATAAAGAGTGAATCTATCTTATCGTTCTTAAAATCTCGTTTTTGAAGAGCAACTCTAGTCCGTCCAACACTACAGCATGTGGAACACGAACTTGTGTGGATTTCTCTATATTACCCGCACTCCAAAAAGCTATTTGAAGTACTGAATCAACTCCAAAAATAAAATGATAGGATCTGCTATCCCCCTCCCCTTCTTCTATGCATGCTGTAATGATTATCGTGTCATATTCCACGGCAATGAAGTCACAACGACGAGAAACAATTTCTATCAATCTTAGCGCCGTTGCGCTAGCTATGCAAAAGACAGCGGTCAGCGGAGGCTGCGCGTCCTGCCCCAGCAACTTACTCATCCTTGGCTAGGGAACCAATACCTTCTACGCGCAGCCTCCGCTGACCGCTGTCTTTTGCATATGCTAGCGCAACGGTGCTAAGATCAGCAGTCAGAACTCGGCACGCGTTGGTTTGGGGCGTTTCTGAAAACGAAGT